TTTTCGTAATTTTTTCAAATTACTTTAAATCATGATTTTCTTCTCAATCAAGACTTTATTCTCTTTAATATTGTGACATTATCCTCGAAACTTATTACAATAATTTCATAGAATTTAGTGTAAGTATAATTATTTCAGCTGAAAGACGCTCTGCGCTTTGACAAAAGTTACCTCCAAAGATGAGTGAAGTAAATCCTGTTGATCCACATGCTATCAATGAGGTGAGACGTTCAGTTGAAAAAAAACAAAACAAAGGGAACACTTCAAGTTCTTTTATTAAGGATTTTCGTCTGTACAAGAGTTTCTGTTTTACGAGTTCGCTGGTCAGCAGCTCTGTGCAACCGTCTGTACAACAGCAGGTCAAACAAACCCATGAGAAAATGTGGTCATCAAACTTGTGGCTTTTGGTAGAAGGCAGGTCTGAACATGAGCGATGGATCGATCGAACACGCACTCGCACAGACTCTTACAATCCCTATTTACAAAAATGGCTGCCTGGCTCTGGATAGATGGGCAGAGACGGAGCGGCCGGCGAAAACACAATTCAAATATTAATCATCACATAAAAAAAGTCTTTGAAAAGTCTTTCAAAGCAGAAAAAAAATAAACATAAACTGGAAATTGTCCATAAAAGACCTGTTAATGGGCCCATCTGGAGTTAGTTTATATACAGTCTCATTTAAAACAACATAAATCAAATGGTGCCATCGACCTTTGAAAGGGTCGACAGCATAAACACCACCTGTGAAACTTCCACTTCATCTGAAACCTCTTACAGATCAGAGATGAAGCAGGGAAATGTTAAATTCTCCATTTGAGATACAAAGAAAGTTTTTAAACTCTGATCACTTTTGTAAATTGAGATTAAACAGTGTGTGAAATGTCAGATAAAACCTCCTTTACACAGGGATTAATATATGTACACTGTTGTGTCCCAGTGCTGCAGCTCTTTCATTTTCCCTTTGAAAAACTTCTCGCCGTTACAATATCATTTCAAGCTTATTAGTTTTTCCTCATTCCTGCTGTAGTCATCACTTGTTCCCGCACTTTATTCATTTCATTCAGTTTAAATTAATTTCCTTTTCACTTCCTCCCCCTCGATGAATCACATTATAATTTGTTGACATGTGAAGCTGCAGAAATAATTTCTCTTATCATTCATTGCTGTTGGTATTAAGTATTGATATCTAACGTGGGGGCTGGGGGGAAAAAAGCCGATGTTAAAACGTCAGTTTAAAAAGTAGATTAATTAAAAAGCTTTAGTTCATCTGTCTGAGCATTAGCGGCTGTTCTGAGCTTTAGCGGAAACAAAGAGTGAAGGCTCTAAGTTCTAACAAGGGTTTCATTTTAGTTTGTTCAGGCTCAGACCAACGTCATCTTCACCTTCCGCTTGAAAGTGCAAATCAGCTGGAATCTAAGTCCGAGTGGCAGAAACTGTAAAAGCAGGATTAGAAACAAATTAAACGTCAGAGCAGCTTGTGTCGGTTGAGAGTCTGACATTTGTTTTGTGTTCAAATTATAACCCAGATTCTCTAGCTGGTCGTCTGACAAGCAGATATAAAATAAAACTTTCTTCCTGCTACTGTTTGATTTGAGTAAACTCCGTCATGAGTTTCCCAATGAATTCAAGGCAAAGTTCAAAGACATTTAAGGCCACTTTCATTTTCCATTCCCTGTCGCTTCAGGAAATTCAAGACCTTTGACTTGCTCTGACGTGATCGTCATAAAAGAATTGAAACTCGTGCATGGTCCCGTGTAGCGTACAGTGTCGTTAGTTAAACATAATACAGATAAATAATAAAACATCAACAGAAAAACATGGTCAGAGTCGGTAAAAGCAGGTCAAACGTACAGTACATTTAGTGTGAGGAGTTAGTTCATCTCGTTCTATCCATTGGATCCATTATTTTCAACGTCATGTAAAAATATTTGTGACAAATCTCACTTCACATTTTTCTTAATGTTCGAGGAGTGTAACAGAATACAGACGTACAACAGAAAAAAGAAAAAAACACAAATAAATAGTACTGCGTGGAAATTGACCTCAACATAAATGCCTTCCTTAAAAACTACACTGGATGTACTAAATACTGCAAGCCCACAGTACTCCTGTGCCACCACTGGGCGGCGCTAACAGATCCAGGTAGAGAGGCGAGGGGCCAGAGGGCAGCAGGTTCATGTAAACAACAACAACAAGGAAACATGAGACATTAACACACATGAAGCAGGAGAGAATGTTGAAGCTGCATGATCTGATCTCTGAGGAGCCAAACTTTGAAAATAATGTTCAGTCATAACTATAAAACCAATCGCTCCGTCCAGAGGAGTGTTGGTTCTTTTCTTTTTGGGCTTGTGTTGGAAAACTTACGAAGTGGAGATGTGCATGTTTATCTCTATAACAGTGTCACAATCTGGTCCCTTGTGTTCGTCCTAGGGTTTGTACTACGAAGCAGGGTTTGTGGTTGTCGAGGTAACTTCAGGTTTCACTCTGGTTTTCAGTCGTACGCAGCCGGAGAAGATATTATAAGGACTGTTTGTTTTACAGATCATGATTATTCTTTGCTGTTTGCTGTGTAACATGAATGAAACTTTAATACGTGACCTCATCTCTGAACATGATTAGTGTTAGATTAGCGCCTGAGTCACGTCAAGTAGATTTGAATCAGTGGTGAAGACAACAGCTCCAATGATCCCACGCTGCTTCACCGAACTAAATCTTTTCTTATAGTTTTGATTGAGAGACCCCGAGTGGCCGATATGACATATTACACATTTATATTACATGAGCTAAATCACAGTGATATCAGGTTCATGTTGTAATCCTTGATTTTAGGTTCAGTGAAGCCCGATAACGAAAACATTTCCTAGCTATGTTGAACTTGCTTCGTAGTACAGGCCCCTGGTTAAAGAAGGTTGGTCTTTTTTTAAAACTGAGCTAAAACAAGCAGCAACCAACATGTTAATATTAAACTGAGTTAAGAAATAAACTTTGAAAGTCTCTGTATTTTCACGCAAATTAAAAAATCTGTTCCAATAAGGAGAAATTAAGGCAGATTGACAGGAGTCTCAGCCCATCACACTGGTTGCTGCTCGCTCGTGTGGAAGTAATGCCCGTGCTTCTCTTTCACGTGTGTGTGTGTGTGTGTGTGACTGCAGGAGATGGTCCTGGTAGTGTAGTGCAGTGGAGACTCTACAGACAAACACTGAGAGGTCTCCTGTTTGTCTTCTGCTTATTGACTTCTGGGCATTTGTCCACAATTAATCTCTTTTACTTCTCCGCGCTCACGCTCATTGCATCGTTTCCTCTGTGTTTAGAGCTGGAACGATGTGAGCGGACACAGAAGAAGTGCTTCTTGTGCACATGAGCCTCGTGGGTAAAAACAATAAACTAAAATGTGAGGTGGCAGATCGGAGACGGCGCAGAGCTTCTCTTCTCTCAGCACAACAATCTCTGTTTCTGGAAGTGGCCTGGAGGTGTTGTTTTGTTGCGGAGTATGATGCACAGAGCCGAACGAGGACACGGTAACAACACAACACATTTAGAAACTGGGGGTAGAATACATGGAGTGTTGCAAAGGTGCAAAATCAGAGATGTTGATTTTGCTTCGGACTGTGTCCTGTTGTAATTGCTCTCTTTAATTGTTTATAGGATCGAGCCACAGGGCGACAAATTTAAAAATTAGCTCACTGGTACATTTCCAGAGTCATTGATCAAAACATTTGCATTTTCTCCTGCAAAATTAGATCCAATTAATTACAGAAGGTGATGGATTTATGCCGTCAGCTTGACTGTGCATGTATCATATCCCCTGAATTCAAAGACTGCCTCCTCATCCTCTTTTTCCTCCCTCTGCTTCGACAAGTGCACGTCTGTTTTTCCGAGTCGTCCACCCGGTCCGACATTCTCACACGTCAACTTCAACTTCAGCTCTGGAGACTTTGAAACGCCTGCTAGTTCAGTTCTAGTCCCGTGAGAACGAGCGTTTGGTCCACTGCACTCCGGCGTCTCTGGATCCAGCTGCCACTGTGTTTTAGGACTTCTGCTCAGCTGTGGCAGCAGGCGTGGCCGAACTCTCTGGCTTCACGATCTGGTAGGTGATCAAGTACTCCGGGTACGCCTGCAAAACAAAAACGTTGGGATTATTTCAAGCATTGAAATCATAACTTGAACAGTTTGGTAGAGCCCGACCGATCGGGTGATAATCGGCTGATATGAGACTTTCACAGACATTTTGGTATCAGGGTTCATGGATACCAAATTAGAAAACTGGAGTGACGTGCATTTATCTTTATATTTTACATAAAAATTTGTTTTCTTTTTATTTACTGTAATTAATAATAAAGTTTATGGTTGAAAGGTTTGATAACATTTTAGAAATCATTGCAAATTAAAAAAATTACATAAATCCATATCAGCCAGTCTCTACAATTTTATTTTATAATTGATTAATTGTTTAAGTCACATTTTTTAAAGAAAGTGGATCATATGTTTTAGGAAAGAAATTATAAATGTTTCTATTTAATTTCTGTTTAGTTCAACAGAGTGTTTTACAGACATTGAGAGACAGTTTGCAGTCATGAAAAAGCGTGTGTGTGTGTGTGTTACCGACCTGTTCCCCTCTGTAGATGACGTACTCTGCATACGCCAGTCCGTTGACGCTGGGTCGACCAATCACAGAGTGGTGTCCCGGGGGAGCGTGGGCCATTTTCATGGCACTGAACTGAAGGAACGACTTCCCCAGTGTCACTCTGCAGAACAACATCTGCCTGCAAACACAGATCAATGGTAAAGTCACATAAATGGAGATCAGACGTCAAAAAGTTGTTTTTCTTATAAAAATGTGACAACAGTAAAACTAGTAACCACATTGAACACATTTATATGAAATCAGTTTCCATGATAAAATGACGTCCTCCTCTCCTGCACAGACGGATGGAACAGGAGTCAAAGTCTCACCTGTGACACACGTAGCAGGAGCGGTCTTTGTGGGTGGGACATCCCGTGCCGCCACCAATCCCATACACGTACTGATTGCTTTTGGAGGAGTTCTCTGCAAAATAGATGCCGGCGCCAAACATGCCGCCAATGTAGGCGTGGCGCTCGTCAAAGCCCTTGTGGATGATGGCGTTGATGAAGGGAGAACCTGACAGGATGAAAACAAAATGAGAAGTCTGAAAACACATTTTTTTTCCCTCTGGGTTCTAAACAAATTTTCTTTTCAGAGACTTTTGGCTCGACAGTGTTTGAAAAAAAAAGAAGTTGGCTGCAGAGGTTCGTGTCCTGAATGAGCCTTGTGGCTGAAAGGAGACATGGAAGATTAATGCGATTCATTCAAACCTACGGTCGGGCTGCCAGAGGTGAAAACATCGCAGGGCAAAGCCGAGTTCGTCTCAGAACATATTAACGGTTGAATCTGGAGGAAGAAGACTGAGCTGTGTATTTACTTGTGTCGACTAAGAGGAAGTGACTGATGCTGCAGGGGAGACGTGATCAAAACGTAACGAGGAGGAAAACTGTCACTGGATTGGACAAACACCACTTTGACCTTCAACAAGAATCTCCAACCTGGAAATAATCTGATTTTGCTGCAGTTTTTACGGATCAGAAAACCAAATCAAGTCTCATGTGACTCTGCACAGCTGCTTTTCTGAAATACAGATAAGAGATTCCAATGTTTGCCTCGTTATCTTTGCTTCTTCCCCCACATCACATTTCCAGCAATGATATAAACAAAGTGAAGAACCTGGTGCTACTTCTACAGCCTCACTGTCAGTCAGCAGACCACAAACCTCCACGAAGGCCCCACAGTTCAATTCAATCAAGCTGCACTCAATTGCATAAACTCATAGATGTCAGTCCACTCAAATGCCTGATTAAAACATTTCTAGGAAAAAATAAAAAAGATCAGTGATGAATATATTAAATTCTGGATTTTCCCCTTTTCAAATCAATAGTTTCTTTCTTGACCAGTGTCCCACCCCCACCAAGTTTTATGGAACAATGTTCGGCAGAATCCTTCTAGTTTTGTCCCGTTTTTATTCACCGTGAAAGAGCATGCGCTCGTTGTGGTGGTTGTGATTCTCGTCTGCGATTTCCTTTTGTCTGTGTGCGTATCTCTCCCGTAGCTTCTTGTTCACCACCTTCTGAATCTGCAGGCAGAGAATGAGGAGTGTCACATTTGCTATGAATTAAGAATCAAAAAATCAAGTTGCAAAAGTCAAACAAGTAGTGGAATAATGTAATAACCTACAGATACTTGTATGCTGATATGTTTGTATGAATATGAACTCATGTTTGATCATTTCAGAAGTGCACAGTGAACTTGCTGATTGCATGAGAGAAGTCTTTATTCCAGTAAAGGTCAGAAATGTGACTTTTAGGCTCAGGTGAGAAGTCACAGGTGGTCACTCATGAATAATGTTCTGCACACCACATATTGTACTACTTGTGTATATTGTACTATACTATGAACATGATACTTATGAAAATACCAGTATCTTCATGTTTTCTTTGGTGCATCTTTGTTCTGCACAAGACTGCTGGAATGCAAACTCCTCTCCGAGCGTCTTTACAAACCTTAATGATGTTGTACCGGCTGAAGACTCCGCCTGCGTTGCCTCCATCGCGGTGTTCTCTGATCGTGCTCTGTAGCTGAGAGGGGAAAACACAGAAGACAATCAAGCATTAAAACAATTTCCTTTTTTTCATCTCAGCTACTCAGAAAACCCCCCAGTGATGTCCAGAGACCGCCTCCATGAACAAGTCCAACTTGAGTATCTCCCGGGAATCTACCAGAGTAGATTTAGGAATGGTTTTTTTTCAGAAAAATGGATTACTGGAGCCGTGTTGTCAGTGATAAAGCGAAGCAGCGACTCGTTCGATCAGACAAGTTACTTCGGCGACGCCTGAGGGAAATTTGGAACGATGAGACTGCAGAAGTGAAGTTTCGGCAGTGATAAAGAAAGTGCAGCAGCTGGATTCATGAAATGACAGGAGCCGTCTGAGGAAATTTGGATGAGTGTGTTTTACAAAACGACTTTATCTTCCTTAACAACTGAAATTACTGGCGTGCACAGGTCAGTGCAGTTAACCTGTGTTTCCTGGAAAGACGTCATGTGTCATTTTTCAATATCTCGACTAAAACTTACAGTTTAAATTACCTGTTCAATTTCTGATGTTCCTCATTAATTTCAAACTCATTCACACTCTAATCTGCTGTCGCCTTCCGTTACTTTGATTTACAGGAGCAGAGCGGTGGCACTAATATGAAGCTGCTTTTCACAGAGACACCGAGGCACATATTTCAAATTATAATCAGATTCTTTAAATTTCATTCAGATGCTGAGGAGAAGCAACAACCACCACAGACTAAATGTTAATAGTATCTATGTACAGTGTTTCTGTGTAACTGATGTTTGCGTACCTCCTCCTCCACAGACTGGAACTCCTTGTCGTCAGGAGCCAGGTCGATCAGCACGGTGCCCTGGCTGGAGCAGTGGAACGTCAGGTATGGATTTCCACCTGCAAACACACAAACACACACACAGTGAGGGTGAGTCCAACAGAAAATAATTGACGCCACTGACCTTTCATTTCTCTGGTCCACCGGCAATTTATTCCAGTTTGTAATCATAATAAAAACACGTGCGGTGGATTTGTTGGATTAAAATGTGAACAGGTATTATTTTTCGTAAGGAACAGGTCTGACCTTGTTGACCTCCCAGCAGCCTCTCGATGCCCTTGATGAGTTTGTGTCTGTGACCGTAGGCGTTGATGCCGATCTCCTTCAGCTCCTCGTGACCCATGTCTGCCAACACGTCCAGAGAGATCTGCTCAGAAAAAACAAGCGTGAGTTTGAATAAACACTCCAGCCATTTTAATTATTAATATTAATTAGTTGAATTACACATCTGTGAATGTAATCAAATGTTCTGCTGAATTTAACTGCACAACTCATACAACACAATACATCAGTTTAACGGTGACAACTTTTCAAACAGTAACCTGGCACCAACAAGGTAAAGGTGACTGTTTAATAAGCCGTGGACTTCAACATCCATCTGTATAACCAGTTCCTTCAAGATCTCGGGACTGAGTTTGCAATTAAATGTTGAATGAACCACGAATATCAGCAGAGAGAAGAGAAGTTTTTAATTATAAAATCAGCTCTAGAGTTTCTTGTATTTAGATTAAACAGTATTTTGTAATTTTTTTTAATTCAGTTTTACTTTTTACACATGATGAGTAAAAGTTGGGTTTTATAATAATAATTATAATGTAATATCAGTGAAATAAAAAAGTTTTCTTGTTAATGTTATTCTGAAATAAAAATGTTCTTTATTATTAACACTCAGCTGACTCTCACCTCCACGGCACTTCATCAGAATATTAATGAAGACTTGTTTCCCTTCAGGGGAAACGATAATAGCTGTAACACACACACACACACACGTTCTCCTTATTGCCATCTATGCTTATCCTTTTCTGTCTCTCTGTTTTCTCCTCTTTCTGTCGCCCCATCTGTTTTTCTCGACTCTCTCCGTCGTTCTATTTTCTCCGTCTTTCCCCTCAATCCCCCCTCTCTCTCTTTTTGACCTCTCACTGACTGCATCAGGTCACCATCTCTTTCTGTGCCGCACTAACTGATTCTATATCTCTGCTTTTGTTTGGCTTTTCTAAAATAAACGATAAAACACAAATTAATATCTGAAAGGAGAAATGGAAAAAAAATGCAGCAAAAGAAAAAAAGCAGGAGATAATAATGAATAATTTCAGGCTCAAAAACGTTACATGAAGAGACAAAATTAAAAACAATGGTTTTACTTCCATGTAATCTGATGCTCTCTGTCACTTTCTCTCTAGCCCTGCATTTCTTCACACTTTTCCTAGACACATAAAAATTGTGTGTATGTGTGTGTACATGTCTTTGTATTTTGTGAATGGGACAATAACTGACCGGAAGATTTTCAATTTAGGGTTAAGGTTAGCAGCTAGGTTAAGGTTAGCAGCTAGGTTAAGGTTAGCAGCTAGGGAATGCAGCGTCCTCACTCAACTATAGAAAGACAAAGTGTGTGTACCTGTTCCCGTTGGAAGATGTCTCGGAGGTGTTCCAGCCCCAGGCTCTTTAAGAATTGGTTGATGGTCATGTCGAGCAGACCTGCACAGACACAGACATGTCAGCAGGTTTGTCAGAGGAGCCCAGAGCTGTTTACACATGTTTACTTGTTTACAACATCCACAACATCTCAGGAGGAGTTTATTAAATTCAAAAGAACCGGAAACCCCAGACTTTGGATACGACATCTGTGTGAACGTACTTTCTCCTTCCTTTCTGTCCGACCCACACGCTCCGTCTGCGGGACCAGTGGCCCCGCCCACCGTGATGTCCCCGAGGGGTGTGGACAGGTTGTCTATGCTGCTGGCTGCTGACAGGCAGGATGGGGACGGCGAGGGAGAGATGACCACGCCCCCTGCAGCACCAGTGCTCACCACAGTCGCACTCACCTGAGAGAGACAATATGACCATATGTTTGAAGTTTCATTTGATAATTAAAAGTTTTTACAAACACTGCTTACTTACTTAATTGTTCTACCAGAGCACACACTGTCCCAACAGCTATTTTGTTTATCTCCAAATCTTTAAATGACACTAGAACTGCTGCAACTTGATGTGTTTACAAGTCAATTGGCTTTTCAGCTCCTTTCTCCTCTGACAGTTCATATGTTGTTTTTTCTAAAAGAAACCTAATTTGCCCAGAACAGAGCAGGTTTCAGCTCGACGCTCTCTGTCTATGCACTATTATAAAAGTGTGAGGACACTCACCACGGTGGCCTGTGGTTTTAAACAGCTCGGCAGAGCATCTGGTGGCATGGCATCAATCAGCAATGCTCTTATATCATCCGCCTGCAACAGAAGAAGAAACAGACAAAAAGATGTAATGTAATGTAAAACTAGCAATTCAATGTTTGATTGCACTTTTTATTTGAATATTTATTCACACATAAAAGCAGATTTAAATTGTCGATAACTCTGATTAGTCATGTGCTACATTTGCTAACTAGAAGGAGGCTCAGAGTGTAAATATCTATAAAGAGAAAGTGTTACCAGTTAACAGTAGCTTTCTGCACCAGCCTCAAATGGGACAGGGACGAGTGGCTGATGCTCGAATAAAGAGCACAGCAATAATCCAGCAGTGAGAAAATTAAGACATTTGATTTGAGAAAATCTTTAGATTATTAAAAGAGAGGAAAGGTTTGAGTTTAGCAAAAGAAGTTAGCTGGAAATAACCTTTCACAACTGCTCTTCACTTCCTGAGCACCCACATTCCTCATCCACTGTCTGAAAAGTTAACCATAACCAACAAAACATTGGCCAAGCTAATGATCTCACATATGCTGATGTAGGACACATGCAATATGAGGAAACGTGGGCCAACACTGTGAGAAAATTCTTTCATACTGTCGCCAAGTCCAGCGGTGTCTGTCCCTCCTGGTTCTTCATAGTAGGATCCGCTCCATGTGCCAATAGCAGAGCGCAGAGCTGAGTCCGTCCTTTCTGGGCCGCTTCGTGAAGGGGGGTGAACGCCCACTTGTCTGTGGCATTGACGCATGTGTTGTACTTGATCAGCAGGGCGGCGATGTCCACGTGCTAGACGAGAGGAGGAGGAGGAGGAGGGTGGAGGTGTCAGATGAGGGGAAGGATAAAAGACAACAAGCACTTAAACTGTGGAAGTGTGGTTAATAAGTCCTGGAAAAATTGTGATCAGAAAAAATGCTGAATCCTGTGGAACAAAAATTTTGTGAATTATTAACACTGATAGGATTCATGTCTTCCCGCCGGTCTTTGTGTTCTTTCTTTTCCTGTTCGTGTCCCTCATCGTCTCCAGCTCTCAACTCAGTGCCAAACACAACGTAGCTGGTTTCTGGGTAACAGTGCATGTGTGTGTGTGTGTGTGTGTGTGTGTGTGTGTGTGTGTGTGTGTGTGTGTGTGTGTCTGTCTGTCCCCAATATGCAGAGCTCATTAAGTTTTCATTCAAACATGTGTTTTACTCTTTCAGGAGCAGCTTGCTGTCTAGTAGAAGCAGTATGTGACTCTGAGATGACAAAAGACTCCAGATGAAGGAAAAATCACAGACACTTCTTTGGATGTGTAGTAGTAAATAATAACAGTCATTTAATCATTTAAATGGGGGAAAAGAGTGTAAATAAGTAATTTATCTAAAGTCTAAATCTGCAGGCGTTTCCTGGGCTGTGAAAAGCAAAAAGCTGTAACTAAATTCAATTCTGTCACATGAATCACATGATGTGGATTCAATAAAATTACAATAATATAATTCAATGAATAAAGTCAGAGAAAGCAACAAATCCTCATATTTGAGAAGTTGGAAGCTGGACCTTAATTGATCAGTGATTAATGCTGAGTTAATTAGATTATTTCAAGATTACAATAAGTGAAAGAGATACTGATTTCATACTTTCTATTTGATAGTTGTATGTAGTCATCAAAAAGATGTGTGTGTTTGTGTGTGTCTTACCCCGTATGAAGCAGCGTTGTGTAACGGTATCAGCCCTCCTTTGTCCTGTGCGTTCACATCGGCTCCATGTTCCAACAGATACTCTGCAACCTCAAGGTTGTTGTACCCGGCTGCCGAGCAGTGCAGGTTGTGTGGAATACACAGCAGGTCATAAAGGAACACAACGGAGGAGAGGCAGAGGCAGAGGCCGACACATAGAGGAAAAGAGGAGAAACAAAAAAAATGTAGTCAGGCAGTGACAGGGAAGGAACAAGGGAGAGAAAGAGACACATGTCAGCCTACATCTGCTGCAGCGTGTAATCATCTTTTCCTTTTACAACCGAGTGCGACAAGGCGGAGGGTGTGTGGGTGTGATTCTAAGTGGTCAGATCCATGAAATAAAAATCACAAAGACCTTCAAAGTGTTTTTCAGCAGTTCCTCAGCTGTAAAAGTGGCGGCCTTGTCATCCTCTAATTAAGATATATATGTTATCATGATACAAAAAGTCTATAAATAGAGTCTGAAAATGGACACGAGGAGACGAGGGCAAAATCGATTTTCTGTCCAGAGAAGGATGAAGAAGAGGACGCAGGAAAAACAGGAAGTAGTCGATGTTTATGAACGGACTCTTCAGTCTGGGTTCAACTCGTACTTTAACACTATATCACTGTGTCGACCATGTTAAACACCGGGTGGTTTGATTTGAATTGACTCCTTGTTTTAATTGATTATTTGTCTTACTTGTTAAATCATCCTTTTAGCAAATTTCCTGTTTTTCTCTGTTGTTCTTACTGTGATGCACGACACGTGATGCATTCACATGGTGTCCAAACAATCCGAAAAATGTGTTACTAAAGGGGAAAATTTTCAAGACGTCATCACCCATAAACCAATTATCATTATTTTATAATCAGCGACCGAAAAGTCTCAAAACATGAAAATGTGAAATACTCAGCAGACGATATTAATACCTGCAGCAATGCAATTTGTTGCTACACTTTTTCAATAACAGATTTGAGCCAGATCAATCTTCAGAAATGATGACGAGTTCAGTATCGGGATCTTGTCCTCCTCCTGCTCCTCACTCACCAGAAGAAGAGATTTGTCAGGATAGAAAAAGAGAAGGAGAGATTCACAGCCTCAGACAGGAGCTGAAGCTCGACTGCGGCAGCGGGTCCAGACATATTTTAGGATATCAGTGGGACAGCTGAAGTCCTGCTGAGGATGTTAAAGCTACATCTTAGGAGGCAGAAGACCACACTACGATGTTATTGACCCAGAGCAGTGTGTGTCTGGGGTAAGTTGTTATGCACAGTGATCGGCTACTGACTTTATTTGTAGTGCAAAAGTTCAGAAAAATAAAATTCCCTTCAGACCTGCACATCAATCACACGATAGAAACGCCCCCGCTGTGTTAAGACCTGAAGTTCAGATAAGTGATCTGTGTTCTAAACCATTGTCAAAAATGTTTTCATCAAACATTATCAATAAATGTCTTAGTTGTCCGAACCTGCCTGTCTACGATGAAACTGATTCTGCCCAGTCTGTAAGTGTTCATTGCCTGGTTCTTGGCACCGTAACCGAGCTAAAATCCCAAGAGGTCGGCCTCTATGAAAACTCCGAGGCCAGAGTGATTGGCACCGGCAAATATGCCATCTCCACTGTCGCTCAAATCCTGCAGACTTCAGCCAACCTGTATCTGAAAGCCTCTGGCTTTATCCTTCATTTTAATGTGTCTGCTAAGTGAGCTTTGCATAATCAGAGAGGTGTTGGTGGCTGTGGCTCGGGGGACAGAGCGGCTTGACCACTCGCTATGTCGAAGTGGCCTCGGGCAGGACACTGAACCCCAAATCTTTCCTGACGGCTGTGCTGACAGCTTGTGAATCATGTGTGATAGAGAAACTGCGGTGTGAATGTTAATGTGACTCTTAAGCTGAACTCAAATCTGAACATTTTCTAAAACTTTTCGGAGCAAGAGTTGGCCTGTTGATGACATTTCAAACACGCAACGGAATACAAGAATAGGAATATCAACTTCAGGGTCAAAGGTCTCTACTGGTTTTTGTGCCTTCTAAAATGAGCTGTTAATATGTGGCTGTGTGTGCAGCTTTGTGTGTTTTTGTATTTCACTGTGTACACTACCTGCCAGGTGCAGCGGGGTGGAGTTGCGTCCCTGCGTATCCCGACAGTTGATATTGTCTGGGCTGCACAACTTCTGCACCCTGGCCAAGCAGCCTTTCTTAGCGGCGTCCAGCAGAGCAGCATCTCCTCTGAGCAGGTCCTGGATGTCGGTGTCTCCGTCCTTCACCAGGTCCAGAGGAGTGTTCCCGTCTCGGTTCTTCTTGGTGGGGTCCGCTCCGTGCTGGAGAGAGTAAACAAAAAAAGGCTGTGCGTCAGCGCACTTCTATAATTGAGTCAGTGTTCACAGAGGTCAGTCCAGCTTAGTTCTTTACAGTGAAATGTCAAAAAGCAAAAGATTTGACAAACCACAAATGTCAGGACAAAACATATGCTCCCCTTAAATGAAACCTAAAAAAATCAGTCCTCAAAATCCCTCATCCTCCAAACCCCAGTGAGGGATTTTCAAAACGATGACAAGCAACGAGCGAGAAGAGGATGAAGGTAAATCACCAGAGAGGAGAAGAGAGGGAGAGACATAGGGAGGTGGAGAGGTGAGGACGGGACATCCAGTGAAGTGGAAAACACCCCACACCCTGGAGAGCGGAGCGGGAAGCAGACATTTCTATCACTCAACTGTCTCCTAGGTTACGGTTTAACTTGTCGTTTTGAAATCCGCTCATTAAAATTGGATGTCGTGGGACTGGTGGGGCTCCTGGGTATCCACTGCTGGCCTGGAAAAGTCTGCGATACATCTCACATCACTGTATGGATAGTTTCTTTGAACATATCCACGTTCAGGTTTTTCAGTCCTACTTCTCAATTTCTTTTCTTATCTCCTTACTGATGTTTTCCCTGTAATATATTCACTTTGCAGGAAAATGCGAATATAAATAACCGGGGACATTTCCATATGAATAAATGTTTACATATACATGTAAAGAAAAGCTTTCTTACACCTCGATTGAATTTATTTCGCACTGATTCCCCGCGACATTAATACAGGTACCTGTTCTTAATGATCAGTTCCAAACCAACAGTAATGTGATTTAAAACTCATTTTGTAGTTTTAACCATTTTTTTCGCGGCTTCGCGGCTGGACTGAGTCAAGAGAAAAACAATTAGCCACCACGTTAAAACCAGTTAGCTGCTTTAATGTGGTGGCTGATTTTTCCATTTGCAGCCTACCCTCCCGTAGAATGTGCAGAACATTTCAGTGAATTAATGTGACTACAGCAAGAAAATGTCCAGGAAATTCACAGCGAGCGAGTGGGTGTTTCGATGATGTTTCTAACATGCGAGGGCAGCAATAATGAAAAAAACATACGGATCTCCACGGTGATACACATAGAAGCTGCAGTCGAAGATGTGAGGCTGGAAAGAGAGAAATTATAGAGCTTTTGGCGTTAACAGTCAACGCCACGCTTATCTGAATGTTATGGACATTTTCCTGTTGTCTTGAGCGCAATTTTCCGTACGTTTCAAAACAGCTCAAGTTTCATAGAAATACAATAAGCAGTTTTTGCGGAGCCCAGCTGACAAACCAACAAATGTACAAAAAACCCAACGGACGTATATCACCTCCTTGGTAAGTTAACACTAATATACTTTTTGTATTTCTGACTAGATCCTCACAGAGCCCTGGGAGCGAGAGCAGCAGAGTTTTTTTTCTCAGTGCAAGTCAAGAGACAACAGAGGAATGACAACAGACAGACAGAGACAACAGGAAACCTACTGCTGGACTCTGGAATAGTTTATTCAGAAAGAGAGAGAACAGTTACATCCCGAGGCCATGGCAGATTAACACCAAGTGCAGGAACACTCTGTTACTCGTGTGCATGTGTGTGTCTGCGTATATGTGTTAAAGGGGAAATGAGGACGGTGCCATGTCTACACATCATCCAACTCTAAATCCATTGCAGTGAAAAAATGTGTCCACTTGCACAAATCGATCGTCTGTCTGCGTTTGTAAACCTCTGAGAGTCGGAAACAATCGTCGGATCAGTGAACGTGAGGCCTGAGGAAGCTGCTGTGACCCTAAACGACAGGACTGTTTTCACAGCACAGATTCATCTGAAAACACAAAGACACAGAGTTTTCATCTGTTTTATTCATCAGCCACTGGATATGGATACGCTGAGGCGGATGGAAACAGCCATTAACAGCCCTTCTAACAGAGAACAACAGCTCCGAGGCCTGTAAAAGGGGAAAACAAACGACTCCATTGCAGAGGATGAACAATTCCCACGATGCCACGCTAACCTTATGTCGGATGAACACAAACAAAAGCTGCCGAGGCAGATGGCGTCCCTGGATATGGACTGAACTAAAGCCCTGACCAACCACAGTGGCCCTGACTGACTCATGGTAGCGACTGCAGAAGAGTGACGACAGAAAACGTAAAGCGTCTTAATAAAGTTATCAGAGTTTATTTAGCACGACAGCACTGATGCTTCCAGAGTGCGCCTCTGGGAAATTCCTCACACCACAGCAGCCAGAGCAGGTTTGCTCCTCGGCTCTGTGACACAGAGCCCAGTCAGCCTTTTCCTCTGAGACACTTTCCTCAACGCTGCCCACTCCCTTCGACCGTGACCGCGATCCAAGCAACTCTGCTGCAGCGTCCAGACCCCCTGCATCATCACTGTTTACTCTGTTATCACCAGCGCCACCTTGTCAGCCTGACCTTGTTAATCCCACAATAAGTTCTCTGGCTTTTTTATTGTTTTATATGCAGCATAAGACATTTCAGTCAAGACTGTTTACCGCAAAACATTCAGGAGCGGAGCAACAGGGTTCCCGAGATGAGAGGGCCCCCCCCCCGATCCATTGCAACAACAATTCTGTAAGAACCCTCTTAAAATTCTATGATAGGCTTCGTTCAGGAGACTGCAACGAAACCAAGGTCTGCAACCACCTAACGAGGCCCCATACAGTACTCCATATGGTGCAATGAGATTTAATCTAAACCTTCACATGAAGCAGCAGACCTACTGTTGCTGTGTGAAGGGTTTTGGTTTGAGACTAAGTGGGAGTGAGGACATTTTGTCTCGTCCTTGCATTCTCACACAGGGTTGCTTAAGGTTTAAAACCAGGTTAAAGGCTAATGGGTAGAACTAGGATTAGATTAAGGTGAGGAGAAGGTTTGGGGACTCTGCATTAAATTGGGGGATGCATTATGCCAATTTATGTCCTTACAAAGATAGAAGCACAAACGCTGTGTGTGTTTGTGTGTGTGTTTGTCTTTTGTGAATTCAGCAGTGCCAATCTAACATTAATTTATTCAGCCCCATATGTCAGCAACACAGTGGTGATGTAACCTTGTCTGGAGGTGTTTAGAAAAAAACACATTCAGCTGTGAAACTGAAACATTTCACACCATTCATTTAGACCGAGAGAGAAGAGATGATCAGGTTTACTGCACAACAGATCCTTTCGTTCTTATTGTCAATGAAAACTCACAGACACCAGTCATATCAAGACGTCATAAAGAGGTGGCTGCAGACACTGAATGCCTTTAAACTTGTGCAAAATAAAATTTATAAACTGCATTTGTGCATCAGTAGATTCATGTTAAACCACACGGGCTGAAATTTAATTATTCATTGATCCGCCAATTATTTACTCCTCCTAAAAAATCTTCAAACTTTGTGCAACTAACTCAAGAATATTCAGTTTATCAGCACATGAAATGCAGCAAATCACATGAGCATAAAAAAATCTATTTATCTGAAAAACTGACCAAGTTGATTAAACAACACTTGAGAACGAGTTACTTTTAAAAAAGAAACGTGCAGGTCTGACCTTGAGCAGCAGTTTGCAGATCTCGTATTTTCCCTTGGCGGCAGCTTCATGAAGCGGCGTGAACTTCCAAAGGTCGGCCACGTTGACCGAGGCTCCGTGTCTGACCAGCAGCTCGGCCACCTCGTAGTGACCGTACGAACAGGCGTTATGGAGGGGAACCAGGCCACTGCAAAGAGACAAGAACAGTTAAACACACACAGACTCACATCAATCGTTATTACACTTGTGTTTCTAATCTTTATCTTTACGTTTTCTCAAATTTAACCACAACTTAAAGCATCGCACCCTTTGTCCTTGGCGTGCACGTCGGCTCCATGGTGCAGGAGGTACTCCACCACTGACACTCTGTTGTATCCAGCAGCAAAGTGAAGGGGAGTAGAGTGTCGTCCCTCCAGATCTCTGCAGTTCACATTCTGAGCCGTACACAGTGACTGAAGAGAGAGAGAACGAGATAAAGAAGGAGAATAACTTCAACTGCTGATTGATAAAAGAGGCACAAAGAAATAAATCTACAATTTACAGCAGAGAAACATTTCATACAGATACGAGAAATGTTCTCTATTGTATTTATCTGTAAGAAGAGTAATCTCCTCTGAAGAAAGGTTTGATTTAATGATAAGCTTCATTCAAAAGGTTTTTCATGAGGAAAAATAATTTGGATTTCATTGGGAGAAAAAAAACAGGACCGATATCTATGAGTATGTAATTTGGTGCCACTTGTCTGGGGACCATCAGAGGTATTGCGTGCCAGTCTTCTCTATAATGAAACATACGTCTCTGGATGATGCAGAAAATGTTTCGGAAAGACAGAACTGGTTTCTATCTTTGACCCGTCAGGAGAGACCATTGTTCCCACAGTCACAGTGTGAACCTGCTCAATGTTTGAGCAGTTGACAGGAATCCTCCCAGAAAATGTGCAAAAAGCTGTGTTTATTTAAAAACGTCAATCAGTGCACGTACATGTCTGCGCCTCAGGTATAAAAAAAAAATTTAAAAAAGAGAGAAAGCCCGACCAGACATGATTGTCTGATCTGCTCAGATTCCTCACCCAACTGCCAAAGCCTCACACTTCATAAGCTGACAGATCCTCTTCATGTGGATAACCATACCTGTCTGTCTCCACGGGCAGGAGACACACACACAGCTTCCACTTCACACAGAATGCTCTGTCAAATACTTCACCGAATGTTACCAGGTCCTGACAATTAGTGGGAGCTTTTTATCTTAAGTATGTTACAGTGCATCACCAACACCTACCCATTTAACATGAGTGGGCCGGAAATCAAACTACGATCAAACTAAACTGTGGCGGTGCAACGAGCCGGGACAAGACGGCTGTGATTAGAATGTTATGGTTGGAAACCTGTTGAGATGGGGAATGTGGCCTTTAATTTAAAAAAAAAAAAAGATTTGCAATTTTCCTTTATCAAAAATCCATGTGACTAAAAATACAAAGACACAAACAGAAAATATTTGCTTTACAGAGAACAATGTCTAACTGGCATTTCATAAACGTCAATATGACCAGGAGTCCACAAGAGCAGCAGGAGCAGTCAAAAGGTCACGACATTCATTTTGTTCCATTTTAATTTCAAAATACAGAACGTTGGCGGATGTTCAACTTTTGTGAGGTAACTTTACCAGAGACACGTGTGTATAACGACTTCCCAAACCTCCTTAACTGTTTTTAAAGGTTTGACGAAAACTTATTTAAACATTTATCTAATCTTTATCTTTACAGGATTCTGTTAAACCTGTAAAACATATGTTCCCATTTTTATTGGATTTATTGACATTTTTAAAATATATATCAGTTGATATATGAACTTTTTCTCCCCAACATCACCCAATCACTAAATGTGAAACAAGCTAATCACCTTGACAGTGTCCAGGTCTCCGGCTTTAGCAGCTTCCAGAAGTCTGTAGTCCACATCTGAGTTTCTCACCGGGACGTTCTCTGCACGGCAGAACGAGGAGAAATGTGGATTAGAAATACTTTTCACGAACATTAGTAACAGCTAGAAATAACTGTGAAAGTAAATTTGTCCTCTACAATGACGAAAGGAAAAGACGACATTAAACCTAATTCACTTAAGCCAGTCAAGTGAATTCCTGCAGATTTGTTGGATTTTCCTTCACGGCTGCTACACGTAAATGTCACATGCTTAATCTGCCATTGTTATCATCATCTTCAAAAACTGCAGATTTGTAAAGATGATGTAAACAACACAAGAGACATGTTAAGCAAATGTTTTAAGAAGGAGAAAATTCAACAGATTTGGAAGAAAATCAAAGATACACACAAAGGGTTCGGTGACAAACGCTAAATGAAAAGAATATCCCAATATTCTGTGGAATTCTGTCTGTCTTAAAAAACAATCAGCATTTATCTGAAGTCAGAAAATATCAATATTGACCTTTACAGAACAATCCCAGTTAATCTCACTGTTGCCAGCAAGTGCATAGCAACCGAAACCCAGCACCTACACATCTGCACACCAGCCGCCCACCCACACACACACGCTAACACACACACACTAAAACACACACTAACACACACACACAAAAGGCTGGTGTACCGTTGAGTATTTGCTGAACGGCTTCATTTCCCATTTGAGCAGCAGTGAAACCCTGCAGCGACACCAGCGAGGCGTCTGCCCCGTATCCTAGCAACAGCCTGCAGGTCTGGAGATGGCCTGCCAGCGCTGCGCGGTGCAACGCCGTCTGACCCAGCGTGTCCAAGGCATTCACCTGCAAACACAAATACCTCTGTGTGATGACTCTTGAAAGGATCTTCAGTTCCTACGTTTGTCCCCTGAACTGCTTCACTTCTCACCAGCCTTATCTACAGTAAGATTCTACCACAGTCTGTCCAGGGAACCATTCACAATGTTTTAAGCTTTGATTTCTTTCAAAAATCAAATCCACACTTTCACGTTAAAAATCTAGATGGTCACTCTGAAAGCACATAACCTTTACATAGATATTAGAACTCTACATATGCCTGATTCTTTATCATCTTTTTAAAAAAATCATTTCTTAAGAAATATATGAAAATGTCCTATTCCACCATGTTAAAGAGAGTTTAAATAAAAACTCTTCATCTGTCTGTTTATCAAAAATGTTATTCCTTCTTCCTTGGGTCATGCCCCACCCCTCCAGTTTTTGAATAATCCTGCTAACAAACAAACAAGCAAACAAGCAAACTATATTCTTTATACATTTAAAAATAAATATGTCTACATGTGTACAAACTTTATTTAAAAACAAAGAGTTTTTATTGCATATTATCAGGTCAACACTTTTACTTCCCAGAATGCCTTGTGACAGCCTCAGTATCGAATATTTAACAAAATGCGTCCTGATAGATGTTGTTTACTGATAATATTGTAGAAACTGTCGTGTTTAGTAATTAAATCACACATGGTTAAGTTTCATGATTATAATTAACCTTCACTCGCATTATATGAAAAGTAATATTGAGATATTGATGTTCTGTATATCATGATGCATTAAATCTTGAGGAAAAATCAATTCAGAAAATGGAATATTTGTTTTCATCTAATCCAACAAATTACCTCATAAATCATGCTTCAACATATTGATGCAAAAACATTATTTACATTCATTATTGTCATAAAGAAGTCCTGATCATGGATTTACAACATTACCCACAACACGGCCTGATAGTTCAAACCAGACCTGGGAACAGATATAGTGAACTTTGGTTCTGGTATTAGGTCAGACGTGTTAGAATGTGTTTGGTTCACACAGGGTGAGAGCGAGACGGAACATTTCTTCACATTTGTTCCACACGCCTGATGGATACACAGATGAGTCAGTGCCACAGGTGAAAATAACTATAATTTACCTTCGCGCCGTGTTTCTGTAGCACCTCCATGATATCATTATGAGCCCGCTCCGCAGCAACATGGAGAGGAGTCATGAAACTGCAGCGGGAAGGAGATTTATAAGCAGCAAACAATTATTATAAATGTTTTCATCTTTGTTACAGACAGAATTTAAACTTCTGGTGAAGCTTTACATTTCCAGAGTTCTGGCAGCTTCAGTCTAACAATAATGGGATCAGCCGGAACGTTATAATATTCTCATTGACGGTGTTTTCTTTGCATCCATGTGTAAATAATTATGATCTCAGGTTGTGCGACAACGGCACTCACTCTTTATTCTTCTCATTAACGTTGGCACCTTTCCTCAGCAGCAGCTCCGTCACCTGTTTCCTTTTGGGGTGAGGTGATGCCACTGCACAATGCTAACACACAGACAGAGAAAGAGAGGGAGAGAGAGAGAACATTAAGTGTTTGCATCTCTGCAGGTGTGTGTATCTGTGTGTTTGTGTGTTTTCTTACTAGTGCGGTCTCGTGTGTGTGAGGGTGTTTAAAGTTGATGATCTCCAGCGCCAGCGTCTTCTTGGCCTTGGCCATGTCAGCTTCTCGTGCAGCTTGAAGAAGCGAGTGGCCCTTGAACTCATCTGAACACACACACACACACTCAGTGAGTTTTCCTTCCTAGATTACTTAAAAGAGTTGTTTTTTTTTCCCAGCAACACATGCAACACTGTGTGCGCTGGAGTTGGAGCGGAAACAAGTGATTATCGCCCGGAGGACTGAAAAATTACAAACAACAAACTACTTTGCTTCAGAAGCTTTTGAGGCAGCATAAAAGAGGAGTCTGTTCAAGTCGGAGCAACAGCATTCATGCATTTCTAATCAGACATTTAGACGAATGGTAAGAGCAGCGCAGATGTCACATCATCTGGGAAATGTGGTCGAGAGAGGAAGAGAATCAACAACATAAAAAATAGCTGGTAAATTGGAAACTGACGCAGCCTCTGCAGTTTATTCCATATGAGAAAGTTGAAGTCATTTTTCATCCCGGTTAGTGAAGCACACAGTGGCACCAGAACGTTTGGGTTTGTGACCCCTGTAAATGTTGCAGTGTCTACTGGTGATCCCATTTTACAGGTTAAAACCTTGGTATCAACCGATATTTTGTGCAGCACATTGCACAGACTTATTCTTCCCTGAATGGATTGTTTCATTTGAAGGATTTCTGAGGCCAAGAGTCAAAATGATCTGTCAGCTGGTTTGGCATAAACACGGGAAACAACCAGTATGACACTGGAGAACCAGCTTATACCACCACATCTACAGCTGCTTCGTTATCACACATCTCATTTGTTCCATCGTTCATAAAAAAACAAAGTGAAGAGTTAGATGCTGGATGAGTATTTCTAAGTAGGCACATCTTAACCTTGGATCTGGTTGCCAGGCAACCACACAGCAAGAAAATATAACATCACATTGCCTAAAATGTCACACTTTCCCTTTAAAAAGCCACCATTATACTTGGCTCACTCGAATGTCACACCGGTTAACGTCTTTCAATTTTGTGGTCTGAATTAAATCAATTCCTACCATCGACAAAAAAAGGAAAAACATGTTTTCCAACTCAGTATTAAACCTGAATCACAGGATTAATGTCAAGGAAAGAGTTTTTTTTCACAGTCTGTAGCTCAGCTTCTACCTGGAGAAGGGTCCTGGCAGAAACAAGGATTTATCATGTTGGCTTTGACTCTGGCTGCAGACGTGAAGAAAAATACTGATGTTCTGTGAAAATGTTTTAAGTACACTGCTCTGTTTAACTGAAATATATTTAATGAATACATCACATAGCTCCAAATGCTCAATTTAAATATTACATGCATGGGGATGGACAGCTTTTGTATCTAAAAAAGAATCTCTTAAAAAGAGAAATCAGTCGGAGGAGCACCACTGAAGCATGTTTGTTTACAACCAAGATGGCTTTCTTTAAAAGTACTAACAACTACATCTTCCAAATATTACATAATATATAATACAAAAAACTGAATATCAGCATCAGTCAAGATTTCCTTTCAATCTGCTCAATATATTGATCATTTTGAACCTGCTGGTTAGCAGATGCTGACATCTGTCTCTCTTCACACCAATGATTCCTTTTTTTCTGCTTCAGAAAACAACAACTTTCTTTTCAAAAGAGCAGAGATTTCCATATTTAACTGTCTTAATGCTCAAATAAACTGAAATCAACTGCTCCAAACATGACTGCTGCAAATACCCCCTTCCCAAAACAACCTATTCATTAAATTGCTGCCAAGTTACATTTAGCAGAGCTCTACGGTGCAGCTGCAGTTTATGTAAGTGTCACACTCACATGTGAGTCTCTCCTTCAGCTCGGGAGTGGGCGCCATGTCCACGGAGCTCTTGCTGTGGCAGTTGAGCAGGGTCGGGTCGGCCCCGTGGCTCAGCAGCAGGGAGCAGACTTCCACTCGGTTTTTAGATGCCGCCTCGTGGAGCGGGGTGAACTGCCACAGATCCATGGCATTTACACACGCTCCGTGCTGGAAGCAAAAAAACAGGATCAGTGGAGGAGGGAGAAGGAAGTGACAGGAAGGAAACAAAGCACAGGTTGCAAATGTGGACAGGTGGGGTTTACTTACAAAAAAAATGATTGCATTAATTACGGATCAGCTGTGTTGTTTGTTTGTACCTTTAGCAGAAGTTCTGTAACTTCATAGTGTCCATAGGAGCAGGCATTATGTAGAGGCACCAGACCACTGGAAGAGTCAAACACAAAAGAAGGTTTCATGATCTACACATCCATTATTCATTTAAACCACATTCTTTACTCCTCCACTAAATGTTTATGTGTTCTGTGGTCCGATAAAGACGTTTGTAAAAAGACAATATCACATATAATATCAAACAATGTGATAAATGCAAGTTGTCTAAATAAAGAGGCAATTAAGATCATACATTTCTATGTAGTTTAATGATATATATAATAATAACGTAAAACATTGCACTCCTTTTCCTCAAAATTCTTGCGTTCCTATATTTTACTTTTGTGTACATACCCCTTGTCCTTGGCGTGGACATCTGCTCCGTGCTGTAGTAACAGCTGAACTATCCTCACCCTGTTGTATCCTGCTGCCAGGTGGAGTGGGGTGGACTGCAGAGACAGGAGGGAAACAGAAAGAGAAAAAATAAATTAAATATCGGCCCATATGTTCTTTCTGCGGCGTGACAAGCCATCGCCATGATTTCGTTATCATCAGTCAAGAGTGTGTTGAGAAAACACAGGTTTACACTGAGCACATTTCTTAAGGCTGGACTTTTCCACAGAGGAATGGGATGTTCCACTCCTGAATCAGGCTGCAGTGATGAAGCCTGACTATATTTCCTCTATAAAAGTGATGAAAAGCTGCAGTTGTGGATGTTTTATGATGTGACTGAGATGAGATGCAGTGTTTCCTCTATACGCTCTCAAGTAAAGACTTCCTCCGAGCTGGAGTGACACCCAGGCAGGAGGAGTGGGCGAGAATGTTCCCATCATTCATTCACATTCAAATTGATCAACAGAGATTAAAAGCATGATGAGGACTGTGGATTAAGTCATGCACATGAAGCAGAGAGATATGAAACTTTACACAATGAGCAAAGAACAATTTTGTTGTATTTATTGCAGTTCACTACAGTCCAGACAAAGTTATTTGAGCAGTTACACACTTGTGTTCTCAAGGCTCCGAGCTTCAACACATTCAGTTTGAAAAAAAAAAAGGCATGTACATAAAAATGCCAAGTCTCAGCTTTAATTTGATCGGGTATAGACACAAATGTGTGGGAGATGTGGTCCTTTTAACACATAGTTAACCCAAAGGTTTAGAGTTGACATTGCAAGAGACGACTGGTCCAAGCCAAGAGCGGAATTTACTTCAGAACATTTACAATTTGGGCATCTGTTAAAAAGACCATATCTCCCACACAGTTCTTTGTATATCTATGTAAACCCACACAAATTAAAGTTGAGAATTGGCACTTTAATGCAGTAGCCATCGATTTAGTTCAACTTTGCAGTGTGACTATAAAAAAGAGATTCATGGCTCAAGGTCTTGTGACTCCTTTCAGCAGGATTCAGATGATCAGGTTGTGTGACGGCTGCGGGGCGGCACACTTTTTATGAAGGAAAACTTCAGAATGATTTCCACTGAACAAACCAAGTCAAAACCCCCAAAACAGTGCGTCAATCTGAAACAGCCTCAAGATATCTGCTAACTAGCATGTTTTGGGGATGTCAACGTCTGTCAGTGTAAGCATAAACATAAATATGAGTAAGAAAAACCACAAAGAAAAGTAATCGTGAAGCATGTTACAGTAGCAACCAGAGGTTTGACCACAGAGGTCACCTGCACTGGCCGCAAGTTCCTTTGTTAATCAGCCCTTTGACGCATGTCTTCCCCACTGTCTCCCTCTTTCTGTGCTATCAGAAAAGGCTTAATCATCCAGAAATATCTTTGAAAGCCAGACTATAACATAAATTTGTATCTTACGATACAAAACCTTGGAAACGTCAAAAATATAAGCACTGTTCGATGCCTATCTAGAAAATGATGCAGCAAGTTTGACAAATGTCACAAATATTGGACCTATTTGATACAATTGTTTAACCAATGTCAGAAAAATAACAAAAGTGGCTGAAACTATGTGTTATCTGAGAATCTATGTGTTCAGCTGAGATTTTGAAAAATATTTAATCTTTTGTGAGGGGGCCACTGTGGCTGCGGGGGTAGAGCAGTTGTCCTCCAACCAAAAGGTCAGCCCATGTCGAAGCATCGTTGGGTAAGATATTGAACCCCCCCCCACCCCAAAAAAAATGGCCACTCATTGAATGCAACTACTTGTAAGTCGCTTTGGATAAGAGCTTCAGCTGAATGACATGTAATATAAAGTGATCTGCTCCCTCAGCTCAACTCAAGCGGAGAGGCGGATGGTTCCACAGATGGTTCACTCGTACAGGATGTGACAATAGTGTTGCAGGGAGCAGAACACGGCTCACAAGTTCGTCATAACCCTCGATTTATATTATGCAGCGCCGTTCTGTGTTCTTGTTACTGCAAATTGTTGCAAATATAAATAAACAGGTTAAAAAACACTGAGGCGTTAATCAGGTCCTAGCGTTTGCTGGCAGTGAGTCATCTTCTCACACACAGACACATGAATGCACGCAAACACACTGACACCTGCTGCTGCATCACCACGTTGTTGCCAGGGTCAGACTAGTTTAAGATCCACCTCCTCAATCTGTCAATATGTATACTGATGTGCGTGCAGGCTTGTGTGTACATACGTGTGTGTGTGTGTTACCACTGCTTCAATAGGTCATGTATTGAATTCTTCACAAAGAAGCTTATTTGGAGTAAAGTCATAAACAAACAGATCCAACCGCAACTTATATTAGGATCCTCTGACCTCAGCAGCCACAGGCCAGTCACAGTAATAATCACAAGCATCACCCATTCATCTACTATCTGACCCACGTCATGCATCCTCCTACTCTTCACCACTGCAGCCGTCTGTTTCTCTGAAGCTCTGAACTGCCATTTTATGAAGCACAGCTGCAGGTTTTCTCATTAGTTTTTACTACACCCTCGGCCTTATAATGAGTTCCTTTTTAATTAATGCTCTTTAAATAAGAACAACCGTGCAGCAGCAGCAGAACGGGGAAGGGAGATGAAGGTTTTCACATGTGCTCTTCTTTACACAAGCACAGTAATTCTGCTGGTGACAAAACCATGAGGGCGGCGAAGGTCAAACGAGGCTGTTTACACAAGTGCCTGAAACGACAAACCCCCAGTGTTTCCAGTTTACACAAATGAAGTTTGTATTTATTGTACAGAGAAATGTGAGGATGACAAAAACTCTCTGAATCTGAGTTTCTTTATTTTTCATTTATGACACTGTCACTACATGTTATACTTATCTATCCTATATATTGCTATATTCAGGATAAGCCAGGCTAATCGAAATAACACTGTTTGCATGCGAGTTAAACTACACATGTCCATTTGTTGGTTTGTTTCTCTCACTTGTAGGTATTTTCTTGAGTGCCTGTTCATTAAACCCAGTTTTTAGCTTGATGTAGTTCATGTTTGGTACCTGACCCTCACTTGTATTTGTTTCCTCTGTCCCTAATGTCCTCTAAGACTTGATAAAATACGTCGCCCTGGAGTGAAACCTGGTGGACTATATTTCAAACGGCTGAAATCGGCACTTGCACAGGCAGACTGAGATTGAACAATGGTAATAAAGAAAAAAAATACTCTGTTGTGTTTTAATCATCTAAAAGCTTTCTTTGTGGACTGGAGGAGAGTGAGGAGGGGAAGAGGGGAGGAGGAAGATGAAAGAGGGGAATATGGGAGGAAAACGAATGAAGCAGGAAGCGAGGAGCAATGCAGAGGAAACGTTCAAGCCTGGATGGAAAAAATACTAATCTTGTTTTCCCTTGGCAGCATTTATCTTTTTTTTATTTATTTATCCCTTCCCTCTCAGTGGAAATAATTACCATCTCATGGTCGCAGCAATTTCAAAGAGTTGACTAGATTTTGCTTATTTGATAATCAAACAACAAAGACAATCGTCAATATAAAAACATCTCTGAATGAACAGACCGTTTGAAAACACACGGGGTGTGTAATCTGCCTCTGTGATGTCACCGTCTATGTTTCCATTTTTCTTTAACCTCTCTTGCATCCTTTCTCTCTCTCTCTGTCTCTCTCTCTCCCTGTATTCTCCTTACGACCCTGTCAAGTTGTTCCCATGACAACGGTGACTGCTAGCTGTCAGCAGTTGCCATAGCAATGAGACATGATCTATCTGGGAGGGTGAATGGAAACATTTGGACCATTTTGTGTAGTATCGTGTAGTATTGTGTGTGTGTGTTTGTGTGTGTTTGTGTGTGTGTGTGTGTGTGTGTGTGTGTGTGTGTCATTCCTTTGCTGTGTGATATGATTCAACTCAAATCAAAGACCAGCGCTTAATTAGGTTACATTTATATTTCTTATTACATCACAGATTTCTGCGCTTGTACCAAGAAAAACATGACTATTTTTTTTTTCTTCCAGGGAAAATCATGGTCAAATGCACAGCCAGTGTAATAAATAGCTGGCTGTACCTGCACTGAAACTAAATATATAAACCTTTCACACACTGTGGTGTAGATGCGATCTGCAGCATGGGTTTGAGCATCAATCAGTAAATGAACGCACCTCTGAGGTCATAAATATCTTCACCTTTGAGAAACGCTGTGGAGATTCTGCACAATCAATCAGCTGGTCGACAGAAACACAGAATCCATCGGGTAGAAATGCACCATAGTGCATTATTGACAAAGCTGTAGGTGATTGTATAATGATACTGAGCTCATTAAAAGATAATCCAGACTGATTTAATAACTAAACTAGACTCTTTCTTCTTTGGTATATTCATTTAAATTAATAGCAAAATCAGCACTTACTTTTTAAGTGTTGAAATTGGGAACCTCAGATTGTGACACCTGATTCTTAATGATGAAGTACCGATGAACCCGCAAGCTGCGACTGCAAACAGTTTCCTCAGACAACAACATGCCATGGGCTTACATGCAAGTAAGAGATTAAGTTTGTCACTGCCAAAACTTTATTAAAACTTTTCCACACCCTATTTGTCATCTGCCATCTGAACAGTTAACAAAAGCCTCTGGGTATTTTTCCTCTGTGTTTCACAGGAGCAGAAGTGTATTATCTCTCAGACGGGGCGTCGGGTTACATTTACAAACAAAACAACAAAAACTCTGCTCTGGAAAAAAAACCCGATCCTGCACAATTCTCAGTCACTCTTTAGGCATCGTGTACGTTCGGCTGGATTTGTAAACTTTAGCAAACATTTGCCAAGACAAGAGCCGTAATGGCCTCAATTCTAATCCGCCAACACACCCGGATCACAGAGGACACCTACAGGGGAGGAGAGTTTCAAGGCAATCGGACATATTTTCGATACAGATCGAGACAACAGCACTAGAATTAAAAAAAATAATCTCTTTCAGTAGTAGAGTCAAAGCTCAGGGAATAGCCGTCCTTGAATTTTTGCAGAAATTGCTGTAAATTTACCATGGAAAAATAAAGTGTCTTATTTTTC